TAAAGGGGGTGCCTGCGTCGCCCGGTAAGAAAACTGGCAGTGTTGGCCGTTACCTAAATAAGTAGGTGTCTACACCGCCGGGGGCCATGTTCACGACCAAAAATACCTATTATATGATTTTTCGATTTTCCGATGCACGAAAGACTGTGCAAGCGCGAAGTGAGGCTGCAAAAAAGCAAGCCTCAAATGTTCCCCAGCGTACCAAAATTGCCAGGGGAACTGCTTGAATGGGGTCCCTCAAGTTGACTCCGAAGGTGAAGAAGAACAGGAGGATCCTCTGACCGTTTCCCTACAGGGTTCCGATGGAGAAGATGACACAGAAAATGAAAATGTAAACGAAGACGAGGATCAAGGTTCTTCCCACCCCAAAAGAGCAAGAAATTGACTATATTGGATTTTTTTACAAATCTCTTTTTGCACGTCATAGTGAATTGTATCTAAAACTGCTGCCGTATTCGTACCTGTATAGCCAATGAGAACCGAAAAAAAAACAGAGGCACAGGGCCCTACCGTCTCAATTTTTTTAATGTCCTGTTTTATAATTTTAATTATTCTTAATACTACTTTTTGTGTTGAGCTGGACCAATACAACACCAGACAATCTTATCATTTAAATAATCATCTAATTTATAATAACCTTTTTTGCATAAAGTAGTTAACTCTTACAGTTTTTTTTAACTTATTTTCTGGATTAAGTGTGAAGAACCTGGTCAGTGGGCCAACAAGTACATATTCTAAAATGAGCATGTGTGCTATTTAGACATCGGTGCATCGTTGAAAAGTTATCCGAGAGTTATCCGGTCAAATAGAGCATAAATGTAAAGCGATTTTTTTTTCTATAATAAAGATTTTCAAGAGCGGATATCATTATTACAGATATTATTATTAGATAATTACAGTTTCTCAATGACACTAATTTACTTTCTTTTTTACTTATGGACCTCACACCTGGCTCCCGCAAGCCTTACGAGCCCCAGCAGTGCCTGCCCACTGAGGACCCCGTAACCCTTACGGGCGCTTTACGGCATAATATCCGCTAAAAAACCCTGCGAACACCCTCTAAGCTGCTTAGTGCGAAGCCGCGAAATCCCCGTTTAGGGATTCTTCCGCGTCTCCGCATCTAGCAGCCTCCCGGCCTTGCCGAGGTTCCGCGGCAGGGGTCTCCCGGGGTATCGCGAGGACCCCACAGACGTGCGCAGGATGGCCCGCGCGTGGGGGCTGAGTACGCGGCCTAGTGCCCACCGTACCGCCCCCATACGTCCACTACCCTAACAATTTTGTCCTTAAATAAAAAAAAAAGGCAATTGTTTCTATTATTGAAGATAATTTAATGCTCTACAACCTTACGGCCGGCATTTATTTTTTGGGTGCATTGTTGAAGAGTTATCCGGTCAAATAGAGCAAAAATGGGAACAATTTTTTTTTCCATAATTACAGACTTTCAAGAGCGGATATCTCGAAAACTATACAAGATATCAAAAAATTTGACTGAATAAGACTTGTAGCAAATTTAATCAGCTTTCACTTTTGTGAAAGTCTCATGTCGCTAGGATGCATAGTTTTCGAGATATATGCGAAAAACCTAAAAATGGGACCTTCAAGCCCCCCCCCCCCCCCGTAGAAGTAGTGTCTGGTAGAGTTACGAAGCATATATAAGGTCGTGGACCAGGTCCTTATCTTTATTTTGGGATGTACAAATTTTAAATATTAGTACTTGTTTCTGTTCGTTCCGTACATCAACATAGTATTTACGAATTGTAAAAGTTAATCATTGTTTCTTTCGTTTTGTACATCCATTTAGCACGGGAAGCAGTTAATTTACTATTATTTCTTAAATTTTCTTCATATGTTGAATTAGATAGGATAAAGTAAAGTTTTTAGTAAAGAGGGGAATAGGAATATAAAAGTTTTTTGAATTATTTAGAGTTTTGGATAGTTCAGAATGATTGGTTATGCCGTTTTTATTTAGAGTATAAATAAATAAAGAAATCCTTCGTTCATGATCCATTTTAGGAATCAATCAGAGAGTTGATTATTTGGTCTTTGTCCTACCATAAATATTTTGACATATCTGATTCAGTAAAAAGCTAGGAATAGTGGTTGGACAAATAAGGTTAGGGAGAGATGTTTTCGCAATTTTTCAAAAGTTTTCGCAATCTGTGAACTTTTATTGCAAATGCTAGTCTGTAGTAAAGGCCGCCTCCCAACTATGCAAACTTCCTCAATCAGGTGGATGTACAGTTAAAACTTTTGTTTAAAAGGTAGGCAAAAAAAATGTTGTATGTATTATACAGTGCCCTAGAATTAAAAATGATAAGTTATAAATTTAAAATAGATACTTCGAGTACCTTTTGTCTCGATTCGATGGTTGGCAGATAGAAAACGGGCGTAGACATTGAACGTTCATATATTATAAATATAATGTAATAATTCTATTATATATAGCACAAAGTAAAATCAACCATTCGTTAACTTGGGTAGAGTTGCGCCTCTCATGATTCCCTTCTGGACTCTTACATAACTCAAATAAACGAAATTATCAAAACCCACCCACCCAACAACTCGTCAATTCGTAAAAACAAAGTGACAGTTCTAATGTTGCCATATTCAAAACTTTAAAAAATAGGAGGGTCACGATTCATTACAGAGCCTCTATTTCCCCTTTGTTATATTAACAAAAACTTAGGGTTTGAATGCTTTTTATAATACATGAGTGCCCTATTATTCGTGTGTGTAAAAAAAGTACGCCACTATTCAAATATCCTTTTTTTATTAATAATGAGAGCACACATTAAGATTTAAAAATAAACCTTCTTATATATATATAAAAGTAACTTCATACAATAAAAATTGCCTATAGTTTTGACTTTTTATAAAAACCTCGATTGTAATAAATTTTAAAAAGTATAGGTACGCATATTCACCTTAATATTTAAGTATTTTTAATTAAAAACCTAATTGTTGTAATCGAAACCGTGCCTGACAATGTCTATCGCAAAATAAGGTTTAAGTACCCTTTTAGGAGTATCAATCAAATGAACAGATTAAATAAAAATAAAATAAAAATTTATAACATTAACCCCATGAACCCTTATACTTTCGCGAATATATCCGGACCTTCTGCACTCTTGTTGTACATTAAAAAACAACACCTGTAGCACATTCGAAACTGAACAGAGTAAACTAAAATCAATTCAGATTCCTTTAAAATGTAAGTGTACTTGTGTAATTTAACCGGGTAAATTAGCTTGCTTTGTAGTTAATAGAAGTAGGTTATTGAACCATACCGATTTTGCATGCTATATAATGAACAAAGGCAAGCAAATTATTTATTAATTACCTATTGGTTAATAAATTGTTTGTAGCTTCGAATAATCTGATAAAGTACAGTGAGTATTTACAGATTACCCCAAATGGTTAGCATAATTTTGAACTTAGCGTTATTATTTTTATGCATTTGCTTGGAATTTTGAGAGGTAGATGAAGTACATGTTCATAGCTTAACCAATATTTATGTGAATTTGTATTTTCAACCGGCTTAAACAAAAAGGAGGAGGTTCTCAATTCGACTGTATTTTAACATTATTAATGAACCACGCTAAGCACGGACAATTATATTTCGATGTGAATCCTAGAGCTTTATATTCATCAGGTCTCTCTTCAGCACACCAGGCATCTAAGTATCTGTCCACATTGACGACGTCGCTCGTGACGTCGACACGCCCTAAGACCTCTGATAAGTTACCTTCTTGGCTGCCATCATCGAAGTAATAAATGATTGTTTTTTAAATTACCCGACAAATTGAGTTTACTTTGATTAGCCGTCATGCCATAATAAAAGAAGAAGAGTTTACTTTGTACTTACTTTATTTCATGCATTCCTGGCAATCACACCAAACATTAACACCTGTGTTACGATGGGGATTTTTTTCCCCACCATAAAAGTAAAATAACACTAGTGTTACGGATGGGAAACCTGTCACACCAGTCCCGACCTTCTCGGTCGGGAATGCATTGAATTAAATATCTTCTTTGGAGTTATGTTGCCCCGGTACATCAATTTGATTCATAACAGTAGGGATACTTGAAAAGCATTCTTTTCTGATTGACTAATGCGAGTCTTTTTACACAGTTTTATTTAACTTGCAATATTCTGCCTTGCTAATTGTACTTGCAGTAAACGACATACGGTCGTCGGTTGCCGTTAGCAATACGACGACCGTATTATAGCCGTAGTATAGCACCGTAATAGAAATCGAGGCTTACCCACCTTCATAATGAACTTTGAAAGTGTGTGACGGTGTGATGGTGTAGATTTTTTTTTGTCATCATAACACTGGTGTTAATATTTGGTGTGACGGTGGGAAATGCGGGGCAATTTCGAATTATCTCGAAGAAGGTTGTAAAAAATAAAGCTCAAATTTTGCAAGCATGCTTGAGAAAAAATCATTATCATTTCTCGTGATGATTCTATTAAATCATACAAAAGCATCCAAGATCCAAATGTCCATTAACGCTTTTGTTTTCAGTCGACTATCTCTGAGGAATTTCTAGTTATCCATATTATGAAAAATGCCAATAAGGTTTTCTATGAGCAGATATTAAGTTACATGGAATCTTTTGAAACCGAAGCGAATGATAATAGTTTGTATGGCATCCTTTTGTTGAGCAAATATTGAAATCTCTTTGTTTAAAAAAGTAACAACGGTTATTTAAAATGAAGAAAAGTGCGTCCGATACCTTACTGAATACATAGAATTTATCAAAGTTCTTCATCGTTCATCTTATATCTCAAAGTTAGTTTTTGATATATCGTATTCGTCATCGTCGGTCAGACCAAACTTAAAATTTTCATGTCAAATATCTTGGCAATATTGAGAGACCATACGTCAAAAAGTTATAAGATTTCATGTAGATACGAGCTTTTAACACTATGCGTCCTATACTGCACTATACAAGGCCTAACTTCACTAACTCTACACTCAAAATGTGTGGCTTACCTGGCCACTGCCGGATAGCACTCATGATTAAAGAGAGCTCCAACAGGGTACACACCCACCGCTATGTAAACAGGCTTGGATCCATTGTACAGGTGTTCCCCTCTCAACGTCTCATAGATTTCGTGCGCATTGAATTGCAAGATCTGGAGGTTGCGCACAAGCATCTCGCATATAGACATTTCCGCTACAAATCAAAATTTAGTAAATATAGTAAGTATAGTAACATTTAAATTATATTAAAGAAATTAAATAGTGTAACGGTGAGTGCATTCAGTCTGCGGATTAGAATGGCTGACAAAAATGATTTGAATTTCGAGCTCCCATGCACTTCTGATTGCATTCAGTAACGTTGCTTTTTTCGGACTCGCAGCTCATTCGTAATTTATTGAGGTATTGTACTTTCTATTTAGCTTTTGTGTCTGCATTCAATTAAGTCTTTAGCAATTTAAGATGATTATAAGCAGACATGATTCGTATCGAATAACTATTTGTAGATAGCTACAAATATTTGCAAAATTAATTTTAAATGACGTTTAAATAAACGATTGGAACACGACGAAAGTAACCGCTCAGCAACTCTTTTATCCTATCGTGATAGATTTAAAATGTAAATTGAAGTATTCCATTCAATAATGTCTTCATGAGCACCTAAAGCGCTTTTGTAGTAAGCAATTTGCTACCTGGTAATTAAAACATTATGGGTACTGTGTCCTCGCAAAGAAAATAATTACCCGTAAACTGATTTTCTCGCTCGCACTTCTTAAAGAAACTAGTTTTCTTAAGGCACTCTGTGAGGAACATCGCCATGATAATCCTTTTAAGATAATCTGCTCCTTTCCTTTGTTCAGAGTGTGCACATAAAGAATAAAACTGTGCAGATTTTAATTCCAATTTCTCTTCGAAATTCATTTTGTCTTCTACTTTCACGTCGGGAGTGACGTCTTCCTCCTTGTTTTTGTCTGTGAAACTTTTCAAGCCCTTCCTGCTCCGGTTCAACCTTTCTTTCCTACTCTTCATCTTTGATTTCTTCGTGACACCTTCTATGTCATTTAGTACAGCGCCCTCCACTGTCTTTACAGAGTTCGACAAGTATTTCGAGTGTATGGCAAGACTGGTTTCTAGGCCAGCTTGGGTAACGATTCTAAGGGCAATTTGACTAAGTATCGACATTCCCGAACCTGAAATAAATCATAAACATATAGTTGCAATTAGGAGCTATACGGCTTTTAGAAAAACCATTTAACACGGCATCTATGCATGTATATAATCAAAGAAAATAGCACTAACTTATGGCGGGTGTTGTGTTTATATTGGTGAGCAGGGTTTCTATAGTTTCACGGGGCAGGAAATGTGTTCAGGAAAAAATCTCTAATTTTAATTTTTAAGTGAGGTAAATGGCACCGCGATTAGCAAGTTCATTTAGAACTTAGTTGATCTAGAGACAGCTGCCAAATAAATGTATTATGTTATTTGTAATGCAAGAAAACACGATGAACATGCCACATGCAACCTACTTAGGGTTATCAAGATAACTTTGATAATTTAGTCAGTAAATTATAAAAAATATCTGATAACGTGAGTTTCGTTGAGGCATAATTATTAGTAGTTATTTCATAAAAGTTACTCAATATAACCCTAAATGGGTTGCATATGGCATGATCGTCGTGTTTTATTCGTGCACTAATAAATGAAATAACATAATACTTGATAGCTAATATACACTTACACGCGCTTTGTCAACCATACCAGACCACATTTCCTGTCCCGTGGAACTGTGGAAACCCTACTCACCGACATCAACACAACACCCGCCATAGGTTAGAGTTATTTCCTTGTACCCGGGAAACGTTTACGAGTTACCGGGCCACCCACTCTCTGTTAGTAGAACCTTCTGGTCTCCCCTCGGGCGGGAGAAGCCCAGGCGCGTGAAGCCTCTCCTCAAATATCTTAGATTAAAACAAAAAGGGAAGATACGGTACGCTCATACTAGCATCAAATAAAATATGATCCAACTCAACTACATAAGCAACTCTCACTCGCACACGTCTGTATATAAAAATTCAATCAAGAGAGCGAGACAGAAGTACGCTTCAACGCAGCGCGAGCGAAACGACGAGTCCGCTTCCGAGTCCGTACGGCTGAGCTGTATTGTTGTCCTTTTCTTGATAAGAAAATGCCGATTACGCAAATAACATTCACGACAAACCGTGATTTTTGATAAAAAAATGTGTAAAAACATTTTTTACGTTTTACGTTGCGTTATGTTTTTTAGTTTTACGAATGAAAAGTGTTGCTGAGGCATTTGTTATTTGATTTTGAACTATTTGTGTTCTTTATAAAAGCATCGAAGACATTGTTTTATCTTTATAACACAGAATATACTATAACACAATATCGTTATATTGAGTGCACATGCAGCGTGTTCGAATGTCCAATTGTAACTAAAGCGAATTATGGTCATGCACCACAATTTAAGCGGATCACTTTTGAGCCGCGAGTGCCGTATCTTCCCTTTTTGTTTTAATCTAAGGGTGATACCATGCAATGTGCCGGTGGTTGTTAGTGATTATATACACGCCTAGACACAGTATTAACTGCAGGAAGCGGCCCAAAAAATAATCTACTACTAATACATATCATATACGTATACGCTCGTCGATACACACGTACACATTGCGCGCAACATGAAACGACAACACGTTTTCTTTGCGTGGTTTATTTGGATTGCTCTATCTAGCTGTGTATATGACCAAAGATTATTTCACTGTGGTCTCCAGAATGGCGAAGGTTATTTTACCAAATGGGCGTTCTAATGGTAGCGGCAAATCAGATATTCCCTTCCTCTTCTAAATATCATTCGTTTATTAGTATTTACCTATGAACAGGTCAAGATATTGGCACTCGTGTGGGTGGTAGGTGGAAACAGCTGTATCGCGGCACTGCACGCTGCAGAACACAACTGCTGAACATTTGGGGCATCCCACGGGCGCTTCGTCTTCACAATCTTCTAATCTGTAAAAGTTCCTTTCCGTTTACATTTTCTATACGCCTCTATTACCCGTTAAATGTATTAGCGTTATAATAATATGTCTTTGAGACAATTAATTATTTAAAAAACTGCGTTATATAATAATATAACGATTTGTGATCGCATAAAGTGCCGAACTCTTCTAAGTTTTGGATACCCTCATTGCGATAGCTTGAATATTCGGATTATCGCGATGAGGGATGTCTAGGTATGAACGATGCTCTTTTTATTAAGGTCTTAGCCTATGGTAGTCGATCTGGTACTCTAGGTAGGTTGTAGGTGTAAAACATACCTTCTGAAGCAATGTAAGCAATGCGTCCCATAGTAGTCGGTATGAAGGCAAGCGGCATATGGTTGGTCTATTAGGAGAACGTCGCCTGTGCGTATGTGGGTATTAGCCACTGCGTACCGGCCCTGTACAAATAGTTTTTTTTTTTATATACAGTCATTAAACTTCTATTAAAGTCAATTATTCAGTCATAATTCAAAGTCACTTATTTCATAAAAACAATAGTACATTGTACATTAAAGAGTTTCTGTTAGTAAACCATATAGTTGATCAAGAACGTGAACGTAATAGGCTAGTTGACTTATATCAAATTGCACTATACAAATGTTTATTTCTTATAAAAAAAATACAATACATTTTTTTACGGTCTAATTGAACAATTATTAACCATTTAAAACATATTTCCAAAAAATGGCAACTAGCCTATTCTAGTATGGTAAATTCAATTATTTTAATGATTCAATTATTTTTAAATTGTGACTCGAGCATGCTATTCACACCTTTTGGTTGAAGATGTATCTGGGTTTTAATAGTGATAGGTAAAATAGTGCGAATAGAGCCCCTAAAATACTCATTATTTTCTGTGTAAAGCTCCTGTGCGGTATCGTACAGGTAAATACCGAAATTCCAGCCACTCTTCAAAGTAAACATAACGAGGAACGCGCTTCAGCATGGCTCAGTATCGTCGTACACACAGCCTCACAACGAGTTATCACAAACTGACAAATTTTCTTAAAAAAATGTGAATCCTGTGCAGAGCAATATAAAGCTTAAAGTCGGTTGTTAAAATTAGACAGGTTTGTGCAAATCTGTACTTTTAATATTGCAAAAGGGGGAAAACAAACGAGAGACGGTCTCGGCGCGCAGCATGCCCGTTGTCGATACACAGGGGTACCAATTAATAGGATTTTCTGCCGACAAATGATTGGAGACGAAATAGAAAGACTTTTTGTATCGCTGTTGGCTGGTAAAGTTGTTTTTAGGGCTTCGTACTTCAAAATTAAAAAACGAAACCTTTGAAACTTTGTTGTCTGTCGTCTGTCTGTGAAGACCCTTTATTTCGGGCCCCGTGGAGGACAAGCCCGACTCGCACTTGTACGTTTTTTTTTGCAAAAGGACTCCATACTCCCTGTTGTTAAGTGTTTGGAACAAATGCGAAGAACATATTAACGCTTCAACGAGCAGTAGTCCGATTTATTATTGCTATACTATAGCGATAGCTAACTGAAGTTGCGTATAAGAAGCGGTGAACTTTTACGTGACAATATTGCAGTACTCCTTTTAATCGTAAAACTTTAAACCCCCCCCCCCCCCCCCCCCCCGGTGATATGTTGAGAGGTTTTAGACTTCCCAAACACGTGTTTTTTAGGACAAAATTTTATTAAAATTAAATACTATCTTTCAATCGTGGTCTGGCAACCGTGCGTCAAGTACACGCACCACTGTGTGGTTTAGAAAATCTGCGTTTAACGAAACCGAACCCCTCCCCTCATCCGAGCCGGATTAATGGACGATCTCTAAAACAAAATCGTGGCTATGCTTAGTCGGTTATAAAAGGCCCCGCTTCATTTTGCGGTAGAATTAACACGCTTTTTATCTGATATTACAGTATGGGGCAAGCATCTGCTTGTGTTTACGTTTTACCTTGTTCTGCTCCTCGGTTATCTTCAACAGTTTTGACATCGCTGGCATATTTTGCTTAGCGCCTCCAGCAACCGTGATAGCTGCAAACGAATTACGCTGGAGGTTACCATCCAGATCTTGTCTAAGTTGGAATAGTCTAGCTATTTCATTCCAAAGGGCTAACACACTGAATAATTTAACAAAATATGTATGGACTGTGTTCAAAAAACAATTTTATCTCACAAGAGTCATCTCTTGTGAGATAAAATTGGAATATGCATATTACGGAAATAAACATGGACATGCTGGTCAAAATTTTATTTGTAAACTCAGTTTTTTATGATAACAGCAAAGGGTTTCGCGACAGAGAATTAACAGTGCACAAAACTTAGTCTGAAAAAAAAACTTGCTGTCTTGTGCTCTTTGATAGTAAATTTATGAATTAAATGTATTCTGAAATTCATAAATTAACTGTGAACATCAATAGATCATTAATAGTGTACATCACAAAGTACCTACTTGTCTTAAAATTTTGACGACCTCCGTGGCCGAGTGGTTTGTACGCCGGGTATCATAGTGTCGCCGCTCAAGAGGTCCTGGGTTCGAATCGCGGTGGGGGTAGATGTTTGTGGGATGAATACGAGCATTTGTACTCCAGTCATGGATGTTTAACATGTATTTCTATATTATATAATAATATATATAAATATTCTTATATATGTACAGTATCTGTATTCTATCCGTTACCCTAGTATCCCATAACACAAGCCTTACAGTGCTTACTTTGGGGCTAGGCTAATTGGTGTGAGTGTTGGAAATATAAATAATTAAAATACCATGATTAACCAGAATCTTTTTAAAGTCTTCCGCCTACGCGTTATTGCTATTTCTGTGTTTAGTATTTTAATTATGTATTAGGTTAGGACAGTTAGTAGACAGTAGTTACACACTGCTGCGATAATCACGACGCAGTAGAAGTAGGACATAATATCGCAATAACGCATCCGATATTATCCTTCCATAACCCTTCGGATAGGAAATTAGACTCGTACTTATTTACTGTTTTTTTACTATAGCCTTTGCTTCCATCCAAGCAAAGGAAGAATATTAATTGACTCTTCCTTGTAACTACCTACTCAAAACTTCTAGGAAAAAGCCAATAGAATACATAAAGCCAATAAAAAAAAGCGTGTTGTTGTACTTGTAAGGACTATTATCAAGAAGAATGTGTGGGGGTCAAACACACTTCTCATGCCTTACCTGGTTTGTCTGGCGGAGGTCTGGACTGTACCGTGTAGTCCAAAGCCTCTATGTCCTTCATTAGACGCTTCTTGGCCTCCTCATCGCTTGCCAGTAGTCTTCCAGCTAACTCGTACGAAACTTTTGCCCGAGTTGGTTCACCAGCACCTTGCCAAAAAACGTTTAAATAAATAAAATAATCTAATATGACTTACGCTCGCACTCGTAGGCTTAAATTAGTTATTAATTTTGATAACAGCTGATGATTATGAAAAATTATCTAACTGATTCTAGAACCAAAACATGTTGCAGGATTGAGAAAGAGTAAGTGGACAAACGCGAAAGCGATATCATAATGTATACTAATAAAACTAATATGTATAGAAAAAGAAATACGTAGACCTTTATAATCAGCTATAAATAAAATCCCGTATAGATAGACGAGACAAAACAGAAAATTAGAACAGTTCAGTACTTTATCATATATGCTATCTCAATCCAACTCATTATCAGAGATGATTTCGCGGGAAGATATGCGGCTCAACCGAGCCCCTGGGACTGACAACTTGGGTATGTTCAAAGGAATTGCTTTAATACATCGTAAAGCGACGTTTAAAAGATGATATCAGTTTAGGGTTTCTTTGGTTAATAATAAGTTCCATGTTAGAGGAATTCCTATTGTATTTGTCACTATTATACCCATTTTATTTGTTTGGAATTCTGAATTAAATACAGGGCGCATACCCCGCTGCCGGACTACGCTGACGAAGCTGTGTGGGACTCCTTATCCCTCATCCCATCCACGCATTCAGCAAGCTCTTAAGAATGGCTCAGTAGATCTACGGGATTGGAGTGGTCCTACCCATTACAAACCTAACAATGCCCCTCACCTCGCACGAGCTGCAGCCCCGCCTAACGAGTGGCCACCATTTGGCGACTCCTCGCACTGCAAGGCAATGGCACTAGATGAGGCCACGGGAATTCTTTCGGATACTTCCGCGACATTGGTGATCCTACAAATCGAGCGAACCCATCCTACGAGTGGGAGAATACAGACAACCTCCACCATCAACAAGCCTGTGCAGTTTAGAACCCGAACCTCCCAAGTCCGGACCATCAGCTGTTCTCTAAAGAAAAGAGCAAAGAAATGGACATATCGCCGGCTTCCAGCCCTTAATAAAAAAAAACACGTACACTACACTTTAGGGTAGTTCTTCAACGACCCGTTTTTGGTGTTTTTTTTTAATTCCTAACCTATTGTAAATATAGCCTTAGAATCAATACCAAATTATTATTAATCTATATCTGTATACAATTATGTTAAAAATTTATGATTTGTATTGTATTAGATTTTAAAATAATTTTTAAAGGTCGTCTATACACGTTTGGAAAAACCTTTAATATCTTCTTGGTCTTCAAAGCTTTACATATGTTTTGTATATCAAAATAATGGTATTTAAGCAATGTCTAAAACTGTCAAAAATTAAAAAATGTGGGTTAAATTGAAAATGTTAGAGCTTTTTATTCATTGATACACGTTATAGAAATTTTATGAGCACGTGTCATAAACGGCTCACATCTTTGAGTAGTGCCGACATGCCGCCACAAGTTTTAGGCGCGCGGATACTCAGTTGTACCCTGCACGGAGTTAAGGCCATACTTTATCAATAACTTAAGTCCTCGAGATTGTTCATGTGTATAGTATGTTTGGATAAGTCTATAAATACAACAAATAATTTGGAATATGTGTAATATCGGAATTTTCTAGCCACAACATCCGTGGCGTGGCCCACGAAAATGATTAACCTGGTACGGTGAAAATTTATATTAGTTTCTTAGGTTTTCACGGACATCACTCTTTAAATAAAACTAGTTTTAACGGGTTAATGCACGAACTTTATTTATTCATTGAGGTTTCGCATAATAATCATTATTCTGACGATGCAGACCTGAAAAGGCTGCGAAACGTCAATAAATAAATAAAGTTCGTGCATACCCGTTAAAACTAGTTTTATTTAATTTATATTATTTATTTCCAGAAATTTAAGTTTTATTTTTACCTTTAAAATACTTTTTTCAACCGCAGAGGATGATTTTAGCTGAAATTTGTTCTCATTTTGGTAGCGGCGACTTCGTTTCATAATTTTGTTGAACATAAAAAAAACAAAATTAAATATCTCGGTGAATTATTTTTTCATAGATATTATAACTTATTATTGCGTCTTCCTTAAAGTAATAATTTTATATTTTCTAAAAAGTCAATATGAAAATTCGCCACGAAAGTTGCACACAGAACGCTTGTCAAAGAATTACCCATTACTTACATCGTCCTTTTAAATTCCCTACTGTTAAGCTGATTGGGAGACTGGCCTTTACTATGGTTATAATAGAGAGAACGGGTAATGGGTAACCCAACACGCGGGGTCAGTGCGGATTGGTGGGTGGCTTAAACATCATTTTGTTTTTGAAGCTATTTAAGAACTTTGGTATATTGCACCAAGACGTGTTGTTGTACTTGTAAGGGTTAGACATTGCAGAAAAAACATTCCATAAAAATTGATTTGCAGTAAACATGACATCGATATAAGTCATCGTTTTAACAACATTTGTAGAATGATATTTCGAACTCCAGTAAACTTTAATTATGCCAAAACCCATACCTCCATGAACATTTATAAATAAAATATGAATTTAATTTATATCTAGTGAGAAAGAAGCATCAAAGAATTTCGAACTATCCATAGAATAAAGCACTTCTTCATAAACTCTACTTTACAGTAGAGCGATTACAAGTTTGTATGGTATAAAACTCACATGAGTAAAGTACAGTAAACCGTACAGTTCGTAATAAAATTAGTAACTTTTTTTTGTTGGTTGTTGATTTTTAACAATTATGACGAACAGCATTATGAAGCATTAACTGTTGCAAAATAACTAAATTTTAGTTTACGCCTATACAAACGGTGAGTCGACTCCACATTCTTCGGAAACAAAAATTAAATGTACCTTTATTCAACTTTATTTCGCTCACAAGTTAGCATTTCTATCTCATGTGATTCTCAAATTGAAAGTATTGAAAGGACGCTGTAATTGGTTTACATTCATTATAGAGACGTGACGAAAAAGCTTTCCAAGCTGATGGTAAATTAGTCTGCCTTTTGTATATTTTACAGAACTCGAATAAATGACTGAAAGAATTTTTAACGTGTTTTCAGTCGGGGAACTAAAATTTAATGAAAATAAAAAAAGTATGCAAAGGAGATTGCTCAAATTGGCCTAAATGCACAAAAAATATTGAAACACACGGTAATTTTTGGCGTAATTTATAATTTAATTTACAATCATTAGATTTCAACGGACACCTTTGTATAATATATTTACTTTAAAAAGGACTTTTAATTTTACCGGTTTGGAAAACATACGAATCATTTTAAATGGCTATGGGTGTAGTAACATTCAGCCAAAGACTGATCGAAGTTGTATATATAACATAAAAACAAATCTATTTTGTAAAGATCGATAAAATATTTTTTTTTTATTACACTGCGGTATTAATATCCACAACTATATTATCATTTTCACTAGATGCAAATGTACTCAGACAATTATTATAAATGGTAGGCGACATCATAAAGTCTATTGCCATACATTTTTCGCCAAACACCTCCATAAACACATTATAATCTGTATATATATCTTAGACTTTATGGTATCTGTCTATGGGCCTACGTTCCGTGACTATAAATTAATAAATAAATAAAATTATAAGGTGTGATACACTAAAAATCTAAAATATGGTTATCTTAAAAACATAATAAAAATAATGAAGCTACTGAATATATGGCTATAGAACCTAAATCTCTTAGCTTTCTTTAGTTAACGAGAGTTTAAAAATTATCTCTAATCTGTGGCTCATTCACAATCATCACACAGTTACTCCCACAGAGTACCTTATTATAACCGGAAATGACACCTGATTTTAAAAGTTACTCTTATGCATTAACTTTAAAAACAGGCAACTATCTCTTAATCTACATGCTCAATATACCTGAATCTAATCCATAATTTCTGTAATTGGCTTGATTTCCCTAGTTTACTATATAACATATTTGTTTTTTATTATTTTAATATGTTCAGTGTATATGGTTTATAGAAGTTCTCAGGGGTGTCCTTCAATAATATTCGTTTCTACAGTAATTTATATATAATTTCGAATCTAGGAAACAATTTTTCATGATTATTGGTCTGTAGGCCAAACATGTATGGAAGCTGAGCAATCTCCTTTAATTAGTACCTACTGTGGAGTACTAATTAAAATTGCATACGTTCATGCGAGAATGCTATTTCTTGTGAGGTTAGAGAATCAAAGATGTGGCTTGAGTTGAGGATGACCAAAAATTATCTAAGGTACTTAAATAAATGAAAAGCTTCGTATTTTGATCGATTGGTGTCAGTGCCATGCCTATCCAAGTAGGTAGTAAATGGAACTCAGATCTATCAGACACGCACCGACTCCAAATATTAAGTTGACTAAAGAATAATGTATTGTTTTCTTATTTTTTTTTGTGGTTCTGTTTTATGAAGTCGGTTTTTATTTTTGTTATATAGGTTTTTATTATAATGCAGAGTAACAAGTTTACTTAGTATAGGCCAGCAATCTCTCTTTGATATTTCGTAAAATAACCAAATACGGTATATGTACAGTTTGTCAGGATACCCGTTGTTAACTCCGAAAGTGCTCATCAAATCTTTATCATGTGATAATATGGGACCTGTGCGTTAAAAACTTCTTACAAAAATTTAAAAAAATCAAAAAACCCGACTGCTTAATTATACTTGAAATAAAAACTGAAAAGAAAAAAAAACAAGTCCAGTAGTCTAAATTCTGTTAATAAGAAAGAAAGCTACTTTAACAGTCGGGACCCATTAGATATTCAAGAATACATAATATTTTTCAATAATGGGTCCCGACTGTTAAAGTAGCTTTGTTCCTTATTAACAGAATTATAGACTACTGAACTTGTTTTTTTTCTTTTCAGTTTTTATTTGAACTATAATTAAGCAGCCGGGATTTTTGATTTTTTAAATTTACCTTTTTTATTTCACACTTTTTAGTTAGATAGTATTTTAAAACGGTATATACTGTAGTCTTGTTACTTCAGTAAGGG